GTGAGACCGAACCAAGGTTAGAATTAAAATATTAATGAACTGGTTTAATCGTTATCAGAGATCAGAGCAAATTAAACCGTAGGGATGCTAACAGCCCTGTCTGGTCCAATCTGATCACTTTAGTCCATTTTTAATAGTTCAAAGTTTTAAAAATTAACTGGTCTTAAAACTGAAAGCAGATGTTTTTTTCCTGGCTTTAAGACTAACTGCGGTTTATCAGTTTAGAATAGACTGCATAACATCCCTGCTGAACCAAACTAAATCCATCTCTAACTAAAGGTCAGGCAGTTACTATAATATTTTTTCAATAAAATCAACTTTATTACTAGTTCGGTTTTATAGAACAAGTTTGGATGCCTGCTAATAAATAATGCTACTCAAATCTAGAGTTCCAATCTGGATAATCTGTCATCCACTTATCCGTATTTGAATTATCTGACAGATATTTGGATAATTGGATATCAATAATAAATGAATATCCGGATAAATTTATATCGGATACTTTAGATAATGGATAACGAATATCTAATAAGTATACAATATTGGGCAAAATTTGCCGAATAACGGTAATTTGGCAAAACCGGGGCAAATCACCGTTATTCGACAAATTTTGCCCAATATTGTATACATGATGGATTGAAACTCGATTGCCAATGGTAGTAAAGCATGACCATATATAGAAGTGATGCGCAGCACAAGCTTGGCAGACGGGACACATGATCTAAACATCGCCACAGCTATATCTTTAAATTTACACAAATATCTGTTGAAAACATTATCATTTTTCAAATTGAAAAATGGAATGTGTCAATTAATAATAATTGAGAAATGGCGCATAACATATATAGCCGATTGTCTTATTATATAACGGTCTTTGCAACATTCGTTATTTATATACGTCATATGATGACTGGCTCTAATACTAGTAATTACTGACAAAAGTTAGTGTTAGTATCGGTATATAAGATCTTCATTCAATATAAAACATATAAAACCCAATATAATCTTGCAATACAAACATAATTGTTCTGATTTCTCAGATCGGCAACCTTTTATGTTTAACTTACCAAATAATTTCCACGTGACAAATTTTCAAGGTAAATCGATCTGGATCATGAGATCAAGAATAAATGTTCAATCTAACCGAATAATATCGATATGAATAATTATTTAACTTGATCGCTGTCCAATAGAATTCGAGATTTCGAACACAGCAACTTGCATACACTTAATACACTTCGTACTACGATATAAACGTACGCAGTCTGTCAGATTTTACAACTTATTCGATGAAAAAATTCTTAATTCAAACAAAAGAATTGTAACATGGACGCGCAAAATGAACGTGAATTTTTTGATAAGGTTATGAAGATTTATTGTGTTATTCCTTTACTCTTTTTGAGTGGGCTGCTATTTATCACTGCTCCTTACGGTAAGTTACAATATTTGTTACTATTGAATACGATAATTCATATTTAATTACAAACTCAAATCGTTAATAGGAAAATTCCAATGGAATAAGTTAAGGCTTTCAGGAAAATTCGGGTGGTTTTTGATGGAATGTTTCTCACCCATGACATTTATTTACAGTTTTTTTGTAAATAATCTTTTTCCTGACTTGACTTACACCACAACTCAACTAATTCTCTGCTCATTATGGATAATCCATTATACAAACAGAACAATTATATACACATATCGAGCTCCAAATATTTCACCTATACATATATTACCTGTGCTTTTTTGGTGTATTTTATAATATTATAAATGGATATACTAATGCACGTTGGATTTCAATTTTTGGTAGAGATAATTATCTTTATGATGAAGATGGTCGAGACATTTATAAATCACCAAGATTTTTTCTAGGTGTTTTTATCTTCTTAGTAGGAATGACTATTAATATTCATCATGATAATATTTTATTTTCATTGCGGAGCAATCTTGATAAATTCACTAAATCGAAATCAATCACTAATACAAGTTCTCCCTCTAGTAAATATGTAATTCCAAATGGTGGATTATTTAATTATATAGTGTGTGCAAATTATTTTGGTGAAATAGTTGAATGGACAGGTTTCGTAATTGCAGCCTGGTATAGTTTTCCCGCAATAATGTTCTTGATGACTACTCTCGCGAATCTTATTCCGCGAGCGAGAAGTAATTTAAAATGGTACAGAGAGAAATTTGGAGACGCGTACCCAAAAAATAGGAAGGCTATTATTCCTTTTGTTTTGTGATGTAAATTATTCATTTGTTGTGATATATCATATAAGATTATTATCTTCTGTATTTGATATATAGTGTAGATTATTTTCTTCGTAATCACACTTTGCCAAAGTATTTTATTATAGTTTAACACTATAAGTCTTAACTTTTGTAATCTGTCATTTTTTTATTTTTAAAGCATACAAACTTTTATAATAAACATTTATTACCGTTTATTACCGTTGCTTTGGTAAAAATCACTATCTGTGACTTTTTCGCACACCAAAGACGACGTTTCTCCTCTTTTGATATCATCAAGTCTTTGATTCATTAATATAACTCATCTCAAAATTGTAAAATATTGATGCATGATTGGATCTTGGTAAAATGATATTTGATGCTTGATATATTTGTTAAATCAATTGCATTGGAGTTGATTAACATGATTAAAGTCGATGTACAAGAAATATGAAAAGAAAATTATAAAATAATAACTTTTTAAAAACGACATATCTATTTATTTTTAAATCAACAAGAAAATTGAGCTTATCAAAAACCAATTCATAAAGTCAACTATATCTTTAACAGTAACATAAAAAAATTTTACCATAACTGTTAAAAAAAAAAAGAAATGACATATAAAATTTCCTCTCGTCTTTATTCACTCCTTTTAATTCTTCTAATCACCATAACATTACTTGATGCTGCCGATCCAATTACTTCTCAATCTGCCAAAATTCAGTCCTCAAAACATGTCATACCAGCAACCCAAACTTCTGTCTCACAAGTTCACCCGACATTTTCAGCCTCTCAATCCTCGTCGTCATCACCAACACCAACACAAAAATATAACTATGATTACAATTCATTGCCTGGAAATCCAGATCCGGATCAAATAAAAGTTATTACGGCCACAACTATTAAACATTATGGAACGAATAGGTCGGCTAAACCTACGGGAATCGCGATTACGCATGCCGAAAGTGGGGCGGCAAATAAAAGGGCAAAGTTTGGTGTTGTTCTTGGGATGATCTTTGTGAGAGTTATTGTGTTATTATTATAAATTCTTGGCCTTATAATACATATAGGTATAGAAAGAAAGGGAAGCTTTTTTTTAATAAGATTATTTATATATTTCAAGAAAAAAGAAATTATTAAATAACATCAGGATAAGTTTATCGCGGCTCCGTTTTTTGTTACACAGATAATATAAACATAAAAACCGAACCAGGATCAATCATTTGGGGATATCGATATACTGTAAATTTTTGTTATGTAAATGTTAGTGGCAAATTAGCAAAGTTTGTTATTATAATAATATCAGTCACTTAATAAATACTTTTAATTTAATAACAATAAACCATACCTGTTGTAAGTGTGAATGGGATATAAATAGGTTCGTAATCTACTTAGATTGGAACAGAATAACTATACTAAAATTCTAATTCTAACTTAAATCAACTTAAATTCAGTTCCCACTTACGACATGTGTATGCGTATAAATATGTGAATTACTGTATTTAGTGTTCGCATATATATAAATCTTTTTTAGAATGTTAAATATACTATAAATTCTTCACTATTTTTATAATCTTTTATTAAAAGTTTTGTTTTTTAATCTCAAGTAGTTAAAAAAATTTTTTACTAAAGCAAATTTTTTACTCTATTGTTTGTTGAATAACTAACCTATCTAAAGCAATTATATACAGCAATTGGTTAAACCAATTTTTTAAAAATTAAAAAAAATTTATTAAGATTTTTGTGTTTTCAATTAATATTATAAAAAAGTTTCTAATTTTAATAGTAATTAGATTATTAGAATTGGTTTGAAATTTTTTTTTTAGCTTTAATAGTTATGCTATTATAATAAAGTTTATAAAATATGTTTTTAAGAATATATTCTATAATAAATATATATCCCATATAATTATTAATAAATTATTATTTTATTTAAAAAATACTAAATATAATTTAATTTTCTAGACAAATTTACCTGGATTACAGTTTAAGAGATATTATTATTGTATATTTTATAGTATATTTTATTTATTTTAAATTTTTAAATAATAGTTTATTCTGCTTAAGTATTGGTAGCTTTTAGTATGATAAACAATAACTAGAAACACTCTCCCTGTTTTGGGTACTTACAAATACAAGATATTTTTTCTTTTGATATCTTTAGTTATAATTTTTAACAAAAAGTAAAGAATTTGGCAAATTCTCTCTAAAAGATCAATACTGTTTATTATTTCTATATCAGAAAACTATATAATAACAAATTAACATATATAAAATAGAGATATACATTACAACAACTCTTTCTGCTAATCATCAAAATACAAATTTTTAGAAAAACATAATTAACAAACTTAAAAAATACATAAAAGCTATTAGGAAATTAAACTTGAAGCTTTAAAGAAAGAGAAAGAGAACTACAAGAAATACTCAGTCCTTTAGAGACTTGAGTTAAAAAAAACAGAAGCAGCAAAGAAATAGAAGAAGTCGTAAAATATTATTAATATTTTTTTGCACTTTGTAAAAATTTGGGGAATCAGCCTTGACCCTGAATTGCAGATCTGTTTTGGTAATACAAGAATCACAATACATAATAAAGAATAAACAAAGAAAAAACAACAAAAACTACATGATGAAGATAAATAAAAATAGTAAACAATTACAACAAGCAACAACAATAAACAACAATAATAAAAAAACAACAAGTCACATAAAGCAAAAATCAACAGAATATTCTAGAAAAAGACCTACTGCTAAAGAAGAAGCAAAATTAAAATTAGAAGTTTTTCAGAAAGAACTAGAATTAGATAGTCAGGGATATATCAACTATATAGAACAAGAACTTAAAAAGGGAAGTAAGAAAAACTTTTGGATAACAATAAGTATAAGGATATCTCCAACCAGGTATATTATAAAAGAAGAAATGCTCAACCTTATAGATAAGTTTAACATATCAATCAAAAGCAGATCTAAGGAATGGACCAAGATATGAAACAATTACAAAATTCATAGCAAAAAGAAAACAAAGAGCTATGTGGAGAAAACAATATTCTATATAAAGCAAACATTAGCAAATTGTTTTGAAAAAAAAACTAAATATATCTAAAGGCATGATAATGGTATATGAAGCTATCCAGAATATATTAATAAATATAACTAATGAAGTTATAAGCACAAAAGTAGAAGAAATAATAACAAAATATGCTAGACAGAAGCTTATCTCAAAAAAAAGTACTGAGACACAAATTAAAGAACTTTATGATGAACTATGGCAATATAACAATGGTAAATCAGAGTACACAAGATTTGCATTCATAGAAAGAGACAATAAAAGTTTTCATAAAGCAATACAAAATAGAGAAGATCTAGTTTATCATATGATAATGGAAGAAATAATTGGTATCACAGTTCAATTAAGGCTAGCAGATAGAATTAGAAGAGTATTAAAAAATAGAGAAAAACAAGTTGCTGAAACAAAGTCAAAACTAGATTTAGATTAGAGCAAGAGACTCCAAGAACAAAGAAGAAAACAGCAAAAACAGCATAACAACACAGCCCTGAAATCTTTAGTACATCAATTTGAAGAATCTGTCAAGACTACTGCAGCAATTCAGTATAAATCAAGAAAGAAAATCAAAGAAACAAGAAAAAAAATTTCAAGCTCTGCAAAAAGAAAAACAAGCTGCTAAAATGACATTAAAGTTGAAATCAAACTAGAGCAAGAGACTTCAAAAACAAAGAGAAATTTGACAAAAGCAGAACAATAAATTAGCATTAAGAACTCTGGCTATACAATTCAAAGTAGCTATTGAAATTGATGCAGCAAATTGAGAGAAAAGAAAAAGAAATCCAGAAAAAGAAAAGAAAAGAGGAATAGAAGATATAATGACAAAAATATTACAGAAACAGAACCCTTAACAAAGAATTAAGACCTAAGATCAAGCCAATATCTCCAACAGAATGGTTGATCAAAATTATATACCAAATAAGCATCAAAAACCCACAGACCAATAATAAAATGTGGAAGAAGAAAAAGAAAGATCTGCTTGTAAAATGGATACAATGTTTGAGATCTTAAAAAAATATCGGTATGAAATTAACTCAATATATATTAATATACAGATCAAAAGAAACCAAGAATTGGAAGAAGAAGAAAAAGAAAAAAGATATATTACTAAAGTTATTAGAGAAGATTTTTGTAGAGGTCTTTGAGAACAAAAAGATCTTTTATGAGATACAGAAAAAAATTTTAAGAAAAAACCAAAGTCTAGAAAGAAAAAAAAAAGAAGAAGATAAAAAAAAAAGAAAATAAAGACACCACATCCGGAACATAAAGAAGAAAGAATCTGGGCAGACTATTCAAAATGAAGAAGTAGAAAGACCAAAAAAGGTCTAAGGTACTTCAAAAAAAAGAAGGTCTACAGAAAAATATTCTTAGAGAAGACCTATAGAGCAAGCTCTTAAGAAGCAAAAGAAAATTACAAAGCTATGAATTAGGAAGAAAAGACTAGAGAAGAAGATATAAGAAGGCTTCTAAGAGCTAGGTCTCTAATTGGAAAAGACAGGTTAAATTAGAAGAAAAGAAAAAGGAAATGCAAATATAAATGAAAGAATTCTAGCAATAACTCTTTATTAAGAAAGAAAATAAAATTGTTTATTAACAGAAAATTAGTTTTAAAATATTATTTGAAAAAGAAAGATAGTTTAAAAGGGAAAATTGCTATTTTGATATAGTTAAAAATTCTTTCAATTTGAAACTATTTCATTATAGTTTTGCTGGCTAGTTTGGTGCAGCCTTCTGATACAGGCAATAGCTTTAACCAGTATAGCAGACTGTACTTGAGCATCTATAGAGAAAGCTGAGTAATGTCAGATCTGTAACTTAGATAGTAAATAATATATTATATTAGCTTTGATCTAATATAGATACTAGTGAGGCTGCTAATACTTAGAAAAAAAATATATATAAAATAGATAGTACTAGTAAATTTTAGTAACTAGATCAGATACTCTAATAGAATATCTTACATATTATATTATTTAAGATATACAAACATATGTAGCTACCAAAAGTTTAAAAAATAGTAATGATCATATGGAGTTTTAAAGTTTTTATATTTTTGAATGATAATATAGATTTAATTAGAAAAGTCAAGCAAAGTATAATAAAATATACAAATATTTTGTAATTATTTGTATATAATTTTTTTTCAGTATTAAAATAAGGTCTTGCCTTATATCTTTATTTAGATATTTATCAAGTATTTGCTTTATATGGCTATATATCTATCTTAAGAATACAGATTTAAACAATTTTATCTATGACCTAAATCTACCAAAGTATTCTATATTCTCATCATGTACAGTTGGGCCTCTCTAAATGCAACCTTTATAAATGCAATACCTCTCTAAATGCACGTTTTTGTCTTGGCTGTATAAAATCATTAGTGCTAAATACACGTTCTATATTCTGCAAATACACATTCACTCAAAAGATTTTTTATATCATAC